CATATCTGTAAGTTTGAGGAAACACAGGCCCATACTAACTGAAATTACCTACAACTACCTTAACTGCGGATAGCAGGCCCGGGCTACCCCTAGGACAGACAGGCCCTACGGGCCTAAGCTGATAGACGGTCCTATAGCCTATAGCCGGGTAGGGAGAGGCCCTAGAGGCCGAAACTGAAACGGTACTGGTCGGTCCAGTCAGTCTGATCTAGGTCGAGTCTAGGCTAGTGTAGAATATAGATAGGATGAGGACATCGGTTCAGGGCTTTTGGCAATGGGTAACGTGGACATCGCTGCTGCAAAACGCGTGAACTGGAGGTGGTGACAATTTCAGCGTTGGAGAAGACGACCATAGCTGTACCTGCGGAGTGTCATCCATAGTTGGGACTAACGTTGTACTCTGACAGCACAAGGGGCTGCCAGAGGTCCGAGCTATCTGAAGTCTGCTGGAGGCAGGAGAAGTTGGTGCCCTGTTGAACCCTCCTCAAGAGTAGGTTTACAGGGTGTGTGGCACTGCAGCCATAGTTGCAGCTTCTTCCTCGGATATCATCTTGCAAGGAGAGGTGACGTTGCTGCAAACTTCCACCCAAAGTCATCCGACACTTCATCATCATCAGACATTCTAGCGCTGGTCTTCTTCTTCATCCTCTGAGAAGCGCTTGGCCTCAGAGGCCTGTTTCAGGGCCGCGCTCCCCTCTGGGAGTCGTATCTGGGTGGCGCTGGTTGTTTCAAGGTCTCAAGGGTGATTTGGCGGTTACTCGGGGTGTGGAGAGTGAAGCGCTGCTCATTTCTGAGCAGCGCACCATAGTTCTGGGGTTATTCTAGCAATTCGAGACTGAGTTTCATAAACAGTGTTGATACTGGGTTTGGACTATCATTGCTTCATTGTTTCTTGGATGTGATCTACTCGGCTTTCCTTTGTGACTGGTTGTGAGGATTTTGTGGAGCGAATTGCACTGTAAGTGCTTTCTGTCATATTGCATGGTCAAGTCTTCCACTGTGTTTATCTCTCCCTGTGCGGTGTGATTCTCTCATCCTCTCCCCTTCCTTTTGTGTATGTACGGGCATAACTGGAAGTCTACCTAAGCGAGTGTTAGTCATTTGACAACAAGCAACCAGGAGCATAACAGGTGGCCCAGGGGATGCAATGCAGGTGAATTTCAAGTACTGGCCAGTCCCTTTTCCACCGGTTTTGGACTAACGGTGTGGAGACACGTGGTGTTGTGCATGTTTGTATCCTTGTCCCACCAAATACTGCCATATCGATGTGGGATCTCGCCCTTTCCACTCCCATTAGTCTGTGTCGAACGGGAGTGCAGTGTGCACACAACGGGGTGGCCATTTCGTAGGCGCAGTATCCTGTGTCGTCCAACCCCACCACCCTCACTCTGAAGTAACCCACCCCAAAGATGGTCATGGGGATGGTGTTCCGATCGCTGTGTATGACCTAGTCCAGACTGCGGATCAAAGGACCGTCCTGCAGGGCAGTCATCCATGTGGTCGGGATGGCCATGTGAATGCGGCCATACTTCTCCTAGCTTTTCCTCACGCGTGTCAGGTTCAGCCGCAGCTGCTGGGCGGTTTTTCGCCTTCCCCTTTGGCTATCATAGAGGTCTCCCACCGTGTAAATGTCATTCCTCACCCATGTAAGCCAGTGAGAGTTGGCTGCCAAGGAGAGGGGCATCCAAGTATCATCGCATACATTCGGGTTCCCAAAGAGTGGCTGCCTCCATATCTTTTGCCATCTAAGGAGAGGGGATTTATTGGTTGACCCATCTGCCTCCATAAGTGCATCATTTTGGTCCACAGCGGGTCATCTTTAAGGTCCGAAAAAAGATTATTACGGGCAGCTCCATCCCGCCTGTGACGCGGTGGGCCTGTCACTGTCCAAGTCCCATTTGTTAGCCTTTTAAGAGGATGGACCGCAGCGATCGGATGGGAGGGAGGGGCCAGGTTTGCCAGATGTATGTACGCCAGCGGCAGCCATGATACGTCATTTGCTAGCAAGAGGCGAATTATGATTTTGAACATCAGGGCCTTGATCTCATCTCCCGGATCTAATATGCCCAAACCACAGACCCTCTTCGGCTGGGACACATATTTCCATGCCACCCTCTTGATGCACTTGGTCAACTTGTGATCGTTCCTCAATAAGTAGGCCGACATCGTTCAGCAGGTGCGCAAGCTGGTTTTGGGGGATTTCCTAGAAGGCTGTTTTGTACCAAATTACGGTCAGTATGGCATTATTAATTGCTAGCACTCTCCCCACTATCAATGTATGTCGTCCATCCCATCTGGCCAACCTTTGGAGCGTTGTTTGGACCAGGGCCTAGACATGGTCCATTGGGGGGCCTAGGGCTGTCAAGCGGATTCCAAGAATTCTAATGGCCTCGTCTCCCCAGTTGACCTTCATGTCCGCCTCCACTGCGAGCGTTTGGATAGTTTTTGTTAGCACTTTTGAGTAGTCGAGGCATTAATGAGGATTGTAAGGTCGTCAGCGAATAGAGACGTGACCGACACCATATGGGGGGGTAATTCCGAAATGTCTATACATTATATCTCAAGGTTGGCCCTTATCATTGTTGTCAATGCCTCCATTGCTAACACAAAGAGGAGGCGGGTCACCAGGTCCCCTTGGAGGACCGACCGCTGGAGCCCGAGTGGTGGAGACAGATGCCCGTTAACCATGATGTTTGTAGTAGCGGATCTGTGCATTATAGACATCCACGCCCCGAAGCCCAGCCCGGAATTCATTTTTCCTAGGCAGCAATCCAAGAAGTCCCAGCCAACTTGGTCATACGCCTTTTCGAAATCTATAAAAAGGACCGCAACTTCCTCTCGATGTTGCTGAGCATACTTGATGGTTTCATTCACAAGGAGCACACTGTCTTGAATGTTCGTTTGTGGCATGAAACCGGTTTGGTCTTGAAAGATTAGGTGGTTCATGTGCAGCAGCAGCCGATTCATCAAGGCTTTTGACACCATTTTATAGGGGGGGGGGGAGGAGCATGATTAGGGGATCGTTGCTGACGTCTGCTTTATCCCCTTTTTGTAGAGCAGTGTGGTAACCCCTTGGCTGATCACACTCCCGAAAGTCCCCTCTTCCTGAACCGCATGCACATAGTTGTCGATACTTTTTTGGAAGATGTCCCAATACCGGATCCAGAATTCCTTCGGGAAGGAATCCAGGCCTGAGGGCTTTTCGTCCCTCCATCCCCCTCAGAGCCTCTAGCAATTCGTTTGTGGTTAATGGCGCCTCCAACTGCTCCCTTTGGCTTGATGATAACATTGTTGGGAGATGTTGGACCATTGTCTGTTTGGCTAGAGTCAGTCGTTGCACCCCCCTTTGGCCGGATGCAAAGGCATATACTTTTGGTAGAACTGCACGGCGTAGTCCACTATAGTGTATGAATTGGTCGCATCCGCCAGGGAATGGTCAAGGCAGAGTGAGAGGACAGTCACTTGCCTAAGTAAGTCTGCATCTGATCCCTGGCGGCCTGTAGCCTGTGGTAGGTCGTGTCATCCAAGGGGTCAGTCTGCAGTTTGCTGTCTCATCCCAACTCTTTTAGCAAACTGTCTAAAACAGCTTTGCGTTGTCGTGCGTAGTTAATAGAGAATTTCTTAATTTTCTCCCTCAACTACGCAACCCGTCGTTGAACCAGTCCACCGTTGAGGTGGTTTGTTGTATCGTTTCCCAATATTCCCAAAAATCTTTGACCAAAGTGTTGAGGGCAGGAAGCTTAAGGAGCGAGGAGTTGAATTTGTAAGAGTTGAGGCCTTTTTCTATCGGATAGTGAAAAGAAAGACCCATGACTATCCCTCGATGATCGAAGGATCTGCAGGCACTAAAAGGCATAATATCAGCCACTGATAGGGCCCTGACTTTCTTCGGAAAGGTCGATTCTAGAGTTGTGTGCCTGCTGCTCCTCTTGATCTCACACAGGTATATGCGCGTTTTGGATGAGTGCAGCATTCTATAGGCATCTTTAAGTTGCAGGGCCAGTCATGAATCGTGTTAACATGTCCAAATCTAGAGCCCACCAGTCACGAGCCAGGTCTTGGCTTCGTGTTGTGGAGGGAGATCGTCAATCCAAAAGGGGGTAAGGGGTTATGTTAAAGTCGCCCGCCACACCCAGAGGTGGACCCATAGCCAGCTCCTGGCTCAACCGGTGGAGGAAATGTGCCCTGTCCAGCGGGTGATTCGGGCCATAGATGCTCACAATGCCAATTTCCTCTTCCCCCACCATTGCCCTTACATATACCCGTCGAGCTTCTTGGTGGTCAAACTCGTGGGCGACGAGTGTCGGACTAGATGACGGAGGGAAACAAATGGCCACTGTTGTCAAAGCCCCTGATATTGCCTCCCATATACTTCCCCCACCCCCATCGAGTAACAGCAGTGTCTATGGCCAGTACTCTCCCACACACCACACAAAACCCACACGCACACGCGCGCACATCAGTGATGGCCAAAGACCCTACCAATACCGAAAGGGGGGGAGCAAGCCAACTATCTTAGTTGGTTGGCATGAAGAATGTCGTAGGTGGTCAGTGGCAATTGAATCCACGAGCTCCTGAATGCCACTTGCTTGCCTATCTACGGGGGCACTTGTTGGTCCTACCTCGGATATACCGGACAGTGGTTGCAGGCACCAGCGCTACGCCAGGATAAACCTCTCCCAGTCGTAGTTGAACCACTATCAAGCGAGCCTTGTCGCACGGGCACTTCGGTCACCAAGCATGAACGTTCTATACACTTTGTTTTCGTCCTATGAGCACCAGCCCAGGTTGGTCAGACAACGAATATTCCTTAAGAGCCTTCCCTAGGCAGTGTCTATTGGTTCTACCCTGACCAAGGTCCTTGTTTCCTTTTCTATTATCTATGTATAATCCAGTTTGTCCACTGCTTCCTCCGATTTTTCCACTTCTGTCAGCTTCCCCTGTAAGTTGCCTCTCCAGGATACAACTTGCATTTGCCATCGTTAAGGATATCCACTAACCTGAAGACTAAGCCCTCATCCCCTTTTTCGGTCAAATAGGCACCCTTTCGCAAACCGTTAGTTTCCAGCAGGTGTTTCCAGCCTCGCGGGATGGCATCAATAACCTTCTTCAGATTCGCTTTGATATTATGCAAATGCACCAGCTTTGGGCTCAGTTCTTCAACGTTCTTCCATCTCCCATTTATCTTCGTCCTATAGATGTCTGATAGATGAGATCTCTCTACGTGCCCAAGATTTCCAGCAGGAGTAAGACAAAGCTAGTCTATTGCCATCCTTGTCTCTAATTGCGGAGTTATGAAAAATGTTCTGCCACAAGACTTCCTCTGCAGTTTCAGGGCATTTGATCATCGAGGGGAGAAGATTGTTCCAAGCCTTCCGGATACGGGCCCACACCTTCAATTTAATCCTCATGTTTAGGAAGCCTCTCATGAACAGGCAAGACCAGACTGTTTCTGGGTCGTTGAGGTCCCATGCCTTCATGAGAATAGGACTAGGGCTATGTTCTGAGCAAACAGATCAAGCACTCTTAGGCCCCCTTCATGTCTCTTCTGAGTGACCTTCCACCATGCAATTTTAGAAAGAGCCTTGCCGTTCTCAATAGTCCCCTTCCATAAATAGGTCATGATGTATTGTCCGAGACGCCATTCTGTGCCTGTCAAAAGTGCCACCATGGATACCATATAGTTGAAAGGACCGTAGTACTAATGGCCTTTCCTAAAGTGAGCTTGATTTCAAACTAAACAAACTCAATCATGCAAAACACGACGGGACGCCCATCTGCGTGTTCGATGATTGATTTTCAAGAGTGTCTATGGAATCAACTATCACGATCGTCAATCAAAAAAAAAGATTTGAAATATGTATTTAGTTGTTGTAGTCTTACATCTACTGGGTAGTTTAGTAGCACGCGTGCTTGGTTGCTTTCTTGGTTCATGGGGGGCTGCCTTGGTAACAACCACTTGTGTTTCAATTTCTTCAGGTCTATGTTTCATAACTTTTTACGAGGTAAATCAAATTCGCACCATGGATTTTGAGACAGACCAGATTTTTTACCATGTAGAGAGACGTTTGGCGACTTTGTCCACAATTATCTGGTTCTGTTTAATCCCATTATTCCCATATGATACTTCAATCCCAAGGAACCGTTCAGAGCGGTCCCTATCTTTGACCTCCATACCAAGATCAATAGCTAGTGGCGAATCATCCCTTGTTAGGACTATGGACTTATCCCGACGGACTTTGGCTTCCGAGGCATTATAGAATACATCCAGTGAACCTCAGATTGCACAGAGTGATTGCTCTGTGTTTCCTGAGATTACCGCAAGATCATCCGCCAAGGCGGATGTCTGCAATTGGTAAGCCTACGAGAGGCGAAGACCCTTGGCTTGGGAGTTACATATCAAGTCCACCAAGGCTTCCTGTTGAAGCACATATAGTAGTGTAGCAAGTATAGTAGTGTAGCAAGTGGACACCCTTGGCGAAGAGATCAGGAAAGCTCGAAAAGATACCTCTTACTGTTGAACACTCTAGAGACAATTGACCCTGTATATAGTTTTTAACTCAATTGCAGAAAAACCGACCAAAACCTCTTCTCTCCAATACTTGCAGCACAAAATCCCAGTTAACTCTATCATAGACCTTCTCAAAGTCTACGAGTAGAATGACCTCTGTAGAACGCCTATGATCAATGACCTCCATAGCTTTCACTATAGTCATTACGTATCTAGGACAAATCTGCCTGTGACAAAACCGGATTGGTCCTGGTGTACTAGCCTCGGTAAAATGTTTGCAATACGCGTAGAAAGAGTTTTAGCTAGGATATTCCCAGATGCATTGAGTAATGTGATTGGTCTGGAGTTTCGTATGTCCTGTCATTTTTCTTCTAGATGAAGGTAATCACTCCTTCCATCATACCTTTCCCTAAGTTACTCCCCCTAAATTACTCTATTGAGAAGTTCCAGCAAAACAGGACAAAAAATCTGCCACGTTTTCTGAACGAAATCTACCAGGAGACCGTTTGGACTGGGACATTTCCCAGTGCCCACGCTTTTCATGACAGCCGTAAGTTCCTCCAAGGAGATTTCCTCCTCAAGGTCTGTTGTTGTGATGGTGTTATTTGGCTCATAACAACATCCCACAACCTCTCCTCTTCGTCGGGTCCGACTAAAGGTTCCCCCTGAATTTTCTCGGTAGAAAGTACCTTTTTGTAAAAAGTACTGAATAATTACAAAGATCATCTGGTTCCGTTGCTGTAGGTAGGGAGTTGTCAAAGGGGTGAGAGAGTTCAACAATGAAAGAACGACTTTTTTTATTTTTGGAAAAAAATGTTTGGTCATTCCTCTTTCCTTTTGATCTGGAAACCTTCCCAAGGGCTAAGTTGGTGATCCCTCATTTCCAACCAATAGGAGAGTGCCTATGGGTCTTGTGTCATCTGGTATTCTGCCTATGGGTCTTGTGTCATTTGATACCCCTATCAAACCAATCCTCTAAATTAGGATAATCTCCTCTAGCCTCCTCCCAATCTTTACGGAACTCGTTAATCCCTTCTCTGACACCCAGATCATCCAGAATCTGGACCTGAATATGAGGTAGGTCCCTATGGGGCTGAGACGGTTTTCCCAAAAGGATATTCAAGGTTGCTGGACTGTGATCTGGAAGCGGGTCTGCTTGTATTAAAACATCCCTAACCCTGTTCCAAATGTCAGAGCGGACCAGCCAGTCTCTTCCTTGCCATCAGGTGGGTGTAAGAGGCGGAGGCAGATGTCCAAGTATATATCGTTTCTGGAAAACGCCTATGTGATCGATATCACACATCGACTTTTGAATCGTCTAGCTTCCTGCCAATTCCCTGTACCGTTAAGAGGAATCTAGTGAGGGATCCGCTGCAAGGTTGCTCCAAAAAGACTTGTCGCTCCCTTTTGAAACAGTTTTCACCTTTGACAGTAGCCGATGCAGATCCCAGGGGTCGATCCCTTGACCTCAGCTTACCTGTGTACAGTATCTGCACAGTTCCCTGGAGTTGAACCCGTGACCTGCACGATAGCCAGTGGTAAGTAGGTCGTCGTAGGTTGTAGGCTGTAGGGAGAT